AGAATCACACGGACATTTCCTTCGTGATAGTCTGCATCGGTGCTTTTTTCTGGCCCCTTGGGCCCGGTAACCGTGCAAACCACCTCCGTTTTGCCACATCTCACAGAGGCCAACCCGCGTTGCTCAGCGTTACCACCAATCCGTACGGTGATCGGCCGAGGTGTTTCGCCGGAATCTGGTACGTCCTCGGCTTCCTCCTTTTTCAATAACTTGGACAACGGAACGGGCTTCACCAAAGATAATCGCATTATCCTGGAAATACAATCTTCCGTTAAAAAAAACAACCTTGAAACGCCAAAAACACATACCCACAGTCATAGGCGGATCCAGGATGGACTTCCGGGACCGGACGGGGAAGCCAGGGAAAGGGGAAGGGGAGCCCCACCCCCGCCTGGAGCCACATGGAGATCCAGGACGAACTTCCGGGACGGGACGGAGGGGAGGGAGGAAGCGGGAACCACCTGGAAATAGAAGGAAGTACGGGGCGCAAAAGCCCAATAGGCAAAAGGAAAAGGCTAGTAAGCTGAGCGACAGGAACAACGGCCCATTCAGTGAAGGGTAAAGACCAGCAAGGGTAGTACCTGCCCTACAAGCTGACTATGAGTAGCCCGTCCGTAACTGTGCAAAAACTAGGAACAGAGTTATAACACACTGCTACTTAGAGTTACTTTAGTTCCATTTATGAACAGACCCGGACTTTTGCAGCACTGCCTGCGCGCCAACTTTTGAACCAGCCAGTAAAACCCGGCCCGGCGACGGTCCAGCTATCAAAACTCGGCTCGGCCAGATGGGCGAGAGGGGTAAACTCCGGTGGCTGTGGGGATGGCAGCTAGGGGACTAGAGATGGGCAAGGCGGTAGGGGGGTTATCGGGAGCAGAAGGTTGTAACGGAAGGGAGGGAATGAGATTATCGGCTGGAAAAGAGCTGAGGCCTTGCTTGAGGTTAAGAAGTGGAAAGAGAAGGACGAGGAAAGGTTTGTGGTGCTAAGCAAGAAACTAGATGCTGAGGAAAAAATAACTACTGGGTCCACGCTTGCACCTCAAAACCTCACCGGAAAAAAGGACCCCGTACACACAAACAATTACACACCCCAACCAAAAACCCATACTCCTTAAACACGTACACATATTGCGAGGCCGGGATGCCCGAGCCGAGTTTTGGTAATTCTCTGGCTCGGCCCAGTCGCACAAAATGCACTCGCTTTTGAGTTTGAGGGGAAATTGGCATCCGGCAGGGGTATGATTGTTAGGGTTATGGGTGGTCTTAAATTATAGTAGATATGAAAGAATGGGGAGATTCGAGTTTAATATTTCATGTGAAATAAGCTAATGAAGGGGAGGGGGAATTGGAAGATGGTATGTAGGAACATGTGTTGTAAACAGTGTGACATGTTAATTGCACATGTACTGAGAATATGTTGGGATATTTGTCTGTGTTTCATCCCCTAGCTTTGATTTGAGTGCAGGAGTAATAAGGACCGTGTTACTGCCCCAACTGCAGGATCTGAGCATAGGTGTAGAAGCTTAAAAGTTACTAATTGCACGTGGAATGTTGGATCTTTGTGTTTGATGAATTTGAATTGCATTAAATGTAGTAAGGTGATATTTTACGATGCAGTCTGTCTTTGTGTTTCATCCCTTAGCTGTAAACATACGCGGACCGCGCTATGCGCATGCGTGTAGGAGTGGGAA